TATCACACCTGGGCCGCTGGGCTGTTCTGGGCTCTGTGTTTTATGAAGGCTGTGGACAAACTGGCCCAGGAACAAAGGAGAGGGCCTGACACCAGGCTCTGCACATGTCACACATCAGTGTAAGGAACTGGACTGATTAGCACAAAGGTGGCTGTCCCCTCCCGGGAAGGACAGCTCCTGTTCAGTCCAATAACCCCAAGGGGCAGCATTCTCAGGCCAATGGGGAAAAGCTAGAGAATACAAATCTGGGTTCAGTGTAAGATAAACCAAAGAGAGAAGCCCAGAAGTAGCAGTAGCTGCCACAGGAGGTGAAGTTGAGGAAGAAAATCAAGCACTTCTGTTGGACCGTTATTTTGGGTGCTCCAAGCATCCGATGGGGACTGGACTAAGTGACCTCTGAAATATAAGATTTTATAATTGACCCTTGTGACTCCTCTGCATCCTATTCCTGAGATGGGTCAGAAAAACTGACCAATCACCTGGATGAATAACAAGGTAGACAGGCGACCACCTTGGGGGGGGGCGGGGCAGAGGGAGCAAGCGGGAACCATTTTAGGAAGGGCTCCCCTGTGTAGCTCAGAGAGATTTTTCTGAGGAGGGATGGGGCAGGGCGGAGACTTGGACCCCAGCGGGCTGAACCCCTTGTGACTGTGCTGATCACTGACTGAGAGCCTCTGGGGTGGAGGCCGGGGCAGGTCCCAGCCAGGCGTCTGCCTCTCTAGAGTCACTGAGCACCAGTCCTCCGACTAGGCCAAGAAGGTTTTGAAAAGGTCTGCAGGATACGGCTCCACTCCCAGCCTCTGAAAACACCCCAGACTTCTCATTTTGGGGGTTCTCCGAGAACTGCAGGAACCCTGCAGAAGGTGCAAAGCTCGCAACCCCTCCACCCTCCCAGGTTCCTCCAAGTTGCAGAATCTGAACAAAAGGTTAGTCACAGAAAGGGGGCAGAGCCCACACAGCCCTGAAGTCAGTGTTGAAGGGAAACCTCGCGAAGTTGAAGAGCTCAGAAATATCGACTCCCCCGAGGGAGGGCGCCACGATCCGCAAAGAGGGGACGAGAGGAGGGGACCCTGGGCGCGGAAGGCAAGGCCGCCGGGGTAACCGCTGGCGTGGGGAGGTCACCGCGGGGAGTGAGCTGCGGATCCCCAAGCCCTCACGGATCCGATCGGCGGGTCTGGGTCCGCAGGTGGAGGGCTGCCCGGGCGGGCCAGGCTCAGTTACCGGGTACAGGGCGCTGGTGGCTGCGGGGTCGGCCAGCTCCTGACGCGAGCAGTGGACTGGACTGCAGTGAGAGGCTTCCGGTTCAAGGACTAGAAGGGCGGGAGAGGGAAGCCGAGGGCGGAAGAAAGCGGCAGGGGGAAGGGGGCGGGGCGGAGCAAAAAGGCATGAAATGAGAAAGAAACCATTTATTCCTCACTTGGCATGTTTATAAGGCACTTTGCTAAGTGCTTTATTCAGTCTCTTAATCTTCATAGCAGCCTTGGAACTACCACATAACCTCATTTTTTTCAGGTTAGAAAACTGAGGGCAAAGTGGAAAGAAGAAAGGTCCTTGTCTTCTTTGGGTTCATCCTCTAGCCTGCAAAATCAGATATCTGACAAACTCCTGGTTTCTCAAAGAGGGGCTAGTACGTCGGGAATTCAGAATCCACTGGGATAAAATGGCATTATTTTAGCTCAAAAATTCTTTGTAGGAAAACACTATTTATTAAGCATAGATCTGTTCTAGGGTAAAATGTGTTCCCAATTTAAAGAGGCAAAAAAATGCCAAGACGCTTAAAAAATGTCCTCCAGATATGCCCAAATGCCCCTAGGTTCACATTCATGCTCCTGGGTTCCGACCCATTTAGGTAGCGAAGTTTGAGGAGCTGGACAGGACAGATACCCGCTAAGGTATGTCTGTGCATTTGGGCTGGGCCTGGTCACTGTAGCAGGCCCAGCTAGGCCTCATGGGGAGGCCAGAAGCTCTTCCGTGATTGTGCTCTGATTCCCTGAGAAAGAAGAGGAGCAAAANAAGAGGGTGGCTGTTAGGAGCACAAAGGACCCCCCAGGTAGTCCGCACGAAGGAACCCCCAGTAGTCAGCACAAAGGATCCCCAGGTAATCAGCACTTGCCCACAGCAAGGCCTTCCCATCCAGCTGGGACTTTTGCTCAGCTTTGGTTTCTTTACTCTGATGTGTCTTTGCCTGGCTTTCTAGACACAAAATTAAGCTCCTTGAGGAGAGAAACCATGTCTCATATTCTTATGGTCATATTTCCAATGTTTCCAGCACTATATAAAATAAGATATAAAATGCCAACCTTCTGGGATATTGAGAAAAGAATTCCTCTTTGTATTCCACGCCCACCTCCCCATTCTGGGAAGACAGAGGAAAGGTTGATCAGGTGGTGAGATGGTAAGAGGCTGGTCTTTTACTCCACAGTCCTCTGTCAGGAGTGATGAAGGGAGAGTCACTGTTCCCTGTTCCCATGGGCTCTGCCTTTCTTCCTTCATTTAGATCCCAAGGGTGGGTGCTCTGCTCTCTGCTCCTACATGGTAGGTAAGCTGGCACGGGCAGGATTTCTCCTTCCTGAGCTGGGTGTGTATGCAGTTCAATTTATGGATGAAGTATTGGGTAAATGTATGCATGAATTGCCTACTAGTCCAAGTTGCATTCTCCAACACAGCTCAACCAGCAATCAAGCCAATACTGATCTCTTATCTGAAAACTGGGTATGTTTCTCCATTGGATCCTAACTTAGAGGATAGTGGAATAAGATTTATTGGGAGAAGTGCCAGAGTATGCACTGAGGTTGTTATCCATTCTACCCTTTACTGGTGTGCAACAGCAATGAGGCTGGAGGCTGGCTCTGGAGCCATGACAAGGGCCATGTTTGCTGGGGTTCCACGAAAAGATTCACTGCTTTTAAGAGAGAGCCACAGGAGGAGAGAGCCTTGGTTATCTCAAGTAAACATCAAAGGCCACACGAGGAACGAGCCTGAGGATCGGGGCAGGCCGAACAGAGACTGCAAAGAGCCTGGGTCCCTGAAGGAACCGCCGAATCATTGAATCAACCAACCAATCAGGAGCCCACCTTGAACTTCTAATTATATAAGCCGGACTTTCAGTTATTTAAGCTGGAGAATATTCTTGTTCAAGCTGGTCTGAGTTGGATTT